CTTTTTATATAAAATTAATGATTTTTGTCCATGTCCTTAAAGGATGTTTATGAAATCTGGATTTGGATTGTATTGTGTCTATAGATTCCTTTGGGTAATAATGATATTTTCACAATGTTCAGTCTTTTTATCCATGAGCATGGTATATTCTTCCATTCTTATGGTTTTTTTGTAGTAGTGTTTTGTAGTTTTCTTTGTATTGTTTTTTTGTGTCCCTGTTAGGATATATTCCTGAGTATTTAAGAGCTCTGGTAGCATAGTGCCTAAGGCACTTGACTGCTAACCAGAAGTCTGGAGGTTCAAACCCACCAGCCACTCCTCGGAAGGAAGGTTGGGCAATCTCCTTCTGTAGTGATACTGCCTCAGAAACCTAAGGAGGAGTCGCTATGCTTCGGGTCTAACTCTACAGCACATAACAACAACAACCTTTTTATCTTTTTGGTAGCTTTTGTAAATGATGTTGTTTTCCTTATTCCCCTTTCAAAGATTTCCTTGTTGATGGAGATTAATCCAAATGATTTTATTATTATTATTATTATTTTAATGTTGGTCTTGTACTCCACCTCTTTGAAGAATCTTTCAATTAGTTTCAGTAGTTTTCTTTTTGAGTCTCTTTAGTTTTCTATGTGTAGGAACTTGTCATCTGCAAATAGAAATAGATTTACTTCTTGCCAATCTTAATGCCTTTTGGTTTACTTAGTTGCCTCATTGCCCTGACTAGGACTTCCAATACAATATTGAATAGGAATGGTGATAGAGGGCACATACTTGTCTGTTTCTTATTCACAAAGGGAATGTCTTTTTCTGTTGAGAATAATGCTGGCTGTTAGTTTTCTGTATAGGGAATTTCCCTTCTGTTCCTATTTTACTGTTTTTTTTTTTTTTTTTTTTTTCCAAAGCAGAAATGGGTGTTGGATTTTATCAAAAGTCTTTCCTGCATTGATTGATATGATCATGTGGTTCTTTTCCTTTTCTTTTCTTATGTAGTGGATTACGTTGATTGATTTCCTAATGTTGACCCATCCTTGCATACCTATTATGAATCCCACTTGGTCATGATGTATTACTTTTTTTGATATATTGTTAGATTCTATTGTCTATGTTTTTTATTTTTTTGAAGATTTTTTTGTCTATATTTATGAGATACATTGGTCTGTAATTTTCTTTTTTAGTGGTGTCTTTGCTTGGCTTTGATATCAGGTTTACACTTTCTCCATTGAATGAATTTTGGAGGATTCTGTCATTTTCTATACTCTGGAATAGTTTGAGTAGGTTTGGTGTCAGTTCTTCTCTGAATGTGTGGTAGAATTCTCCACTGAAGCCATCTGGGCATGTTTTGTTGATGTTGGGAGTATTTTCATGACTTGTTCAATTTCTTCTTTTGTTATGAGCCTCTTCCATTTTTCCACATTATTTTATGTTAATTTAGGTATGTCATATGTTTCTAGAAAAATTTCCACTTCTTCTAGGTTTTCAAATTGTTTTAGTACAGTTTCTCACAGTGTTCTGTTATTATCCTTTTTATTTTGATTAGTTCTGTTCTAATGTCATGCATTTCAGTTTTTATTTGTCTTACTTGTATTTTCTCTTTCTTTTCCTTGGTTAGATTTGCCAGTCACTTGTCAATTGTGCTTATCTTTTCAAAGAACCAGCTTCTATCCTTGTTCTTTCTTCTTTTATTGTTTTGTTTTCATTTCTGTTTATTTCTGTTCTAATTGTTATTTTTTCTTTTTTCTGGAGCTGTGGACTTCTTTTGTTGTTCTTTTTCTGATTGTTGGAGTTGTTTTGTTAAGGTATTGATTTTGGTTGTTTCTTCTTTTTTGATGTATGCATTTATTACTATAAATTGATTTCTGAGTACTGATCTCTGTCCTAAGGTTTTGCAATGTTGTGTTTTCATTCTCATTTTTTTCTAGTAATGTCTTTTATTTCACATTTTATTTCTTCGGGCACCACATAGTTTTTGAGCAGGGTGTTATTCAGTTGCCATGTATTTGATTGCTATCCCATATGATAATACTATTATTAATTTCTAATATTATAGTATTGTAATCTGAGGAGATGCTTTGTAGTATTTTGATGTTTTAAAATTTATTAAGGCTTATTTTGTGGCCTAACATATGAATTAATGATTGGTATTAATTTACTGCACATTATTATTATTTTTTATTGTTGTGTTGATGGTTTCTTTGCTCCTATTATTTTTCTATGCTGTGTTCATTTTGTTATTGGGTTTTCTTTTCATTTTCTCCATTGATATTGATTTTGTGTTTATTAATTCCTTGTGACTTTCTTTGGGCTAGAAGGCTTATTAATTTTCTTTGTGGTTACCCTATAGTTGATTTTTATCTCTCTAAGTTTGGAAAACCACCCTGTTCCATGGTAGGAAAATGACACAATCTACTTCTGTAAGGATTTACAGCCTTGGAAACCCAATGGGGGTTGCTATGAGTCAGAATCAACTTGATGGCAATGGGTTTGGTTTTGGCATTGGAAATTTGGAAAAATCTGTTCTAGACTGATATCGTCCTGACTTCCTCTCCATTCGAAAGTTCTGTAATTATACCCTTTATTTCCTCTCTTTGTTTTGTAGTTGTTGTCATCTACAGATTGATGCCTCTGGTTCTCTATTTTCCATTTTGTAAGTTGTTTTTTTTTTTTAATTTTGAAAATTATTATCCTAGGTTGGTTTCTGGGTGATGTTAACATATGTCTTAATCTTAGGTTGTTGTCTTCCATTGTGGTTTTCTGTCTGAATGACTTCCTTTAGCATTTCTTGTAAGCTTGGTCTGATTTTTACAAAATCCCTTAATTTCTGTTTATCTGAGAACATCCCAATTTTACCATTGTATTTGAAGAATGGTTTTGCTGGATATCAAGCTGTTTCTTTTACTCTGGAAGCATATCAAATCCCTAAAGCAGCTACTCAGCTGGTCCAGTAGATTCCACCATGGAGTTGATTACCAATCTCACCATGGGGAATAACTACATCCAGCTGCCTAGTCACTCAACCAGGTCCAGTCAAGTTGACATATAACCTTAACTACCACAGTTAACAATTTTTTTTCTTTCAAAGTTTTATATATGTTTTTCCATTGCCTTCTTGCCTGCATGGTTTCTGCTAAGAAATCAGAGATTAGTCTTAGTGATTGCTCTTTGTAGGTAACATTTCTTTTTTCCTGAGCTGCTCTCAAGATTTTTTGTGTCTGGTTTTGGAAAGTTTGATTATGATATATATATATATATATATTGGTGATCTTGTTTTGGGGCCTATCCTGTATAGGGTTTGTTGAGCTTCTTGAATGGTTATTTTTTTTGTCTTCACCATATAGGGGAAGTTTTATTAGTAGAAAGATATTGGTGTTTCCTCTCTTTTTTTCTTTTTTTCCCCTCTTCCTGTTCTGGAATTCCAATCATATGTAGGTTATTTCTGTTGATATCATCCCATATGTTTCTTAGGCATACTACTTCTTTCTTCATTCTATTTTGTGATTTTTTCTCATACAAACTGATATCAAGGGATTTGTTTTCTAACTGGCTAATGCATTCTTTAGTCAATTCCATTCTACTTTTTTGTCTTACCAGTGTGTTATCTATCTCCATAATTTTAGTGTTAATCTTCAGGATTTCTAATTGTTGTTTTTGTATGATTTTTAATTGCCTATTTAGTTTGTCTTTTTGCTCCTGTATTGCTTTCATGAATTGTTCTGTGGTATTGCTTGTCTTTTTCTTGCTTTTGGTTAAGGTTCCCTTGTGTTCTTGGAATGATGTGTGTGTATGTGTGTGTGTATACACACACACATACACACACATCGTAGTGATACTGCCTTGGAAACTCAAAGAGGGGTCACTATGGGTCAGATCCAACTCGACAGAAGTGAGTTTGGTTTTTTAGTGTATATATATTTTATTTCCTTGCTTGCCAGGTAGTTCTATTACCTGTTCTTCCTTAAGGAGGTTTCCTAGTAGTTTATTTTGGTCACTTGCTTGCATGTCTTGTCCTGTTTCTTTGTTTGAATTGAAGTTGTTTATTTTCTCTGGGACATTTTCAAGTTGTTTTTTATTTGTTGATTATGTTTTTTTTTTTTTTTTTTCTCTTTTTCTCACCCTCGTTTATTGTTTTGTTTTGCTTAGTTTCAAATACCTGGGCAAGTGAGGCAGGCATGCTTCTTTGCTTGTTAGCTTGACATCACTGGGGCATTCTCCACCTCCCTTGGGGTGGGTGGAATAATTGGGAGGAATATGAGTGGGTTTCCGCTTGTTGTGAAGAGGAGCTGCAGTTGAAATGAGCAACTGTTGTCCACTGTCATTGATCCAGTGGTGCAGTAGTGTGTAGTGGTAATCAGCCATTGGATGATGTTTTGGTTATTTTGTGCTGCTTTAACAGAAAACACCACAAATGTGTGACTATAACAAACAGGGGTTTATTCTCTTATAGTTTAGGAGGCTAGAAGTCTGAGTTCAAAGTGCCAGCTCTAGAGGCTGGGTGAAAGTCCTTCAACCTTGGGCTTCAGCTCTGCTTCTTGCTCCCAGCCCAATGAAGCTGGGGGATTTTCTTAACTCAGGCAGCTGTTGGCTGCTGAGGATGATATACTCAAGGTCAACAAATAAAATGGCACAGTCCTAGGATCACCAAACAACATGGCAGAACATTAGTTCAAGTCCAGAGACAGTCCCAAGATTGTCAGAAAAATGGCAGTCTGAAGACTCCAAGTGTGCCAAAAAGCTGGAGACCTTCCTCAAAACTGCTTCTTATATACTAGAACCAAACCACATCTCTAAGGAAGCTACTCAGCTGCTCCAGTAGATTCCACCATAGCTGATTTCTAATCTCATCATGGGAAATAACTACATCCAGCTGTCCAGCCACTCAAAACCAGGCCCAGCCAAGTTGATATATAACCTTAACTACCACAGGTGAGGTGGTAAGTGCAGTAGATATGGCTAACTAGTGGTATGTTGAGTCCTCCACTTGTTGGATGGGATGGGGGGAACAAAAGGAAAATAAAAAAGAAGAAGAAAAAGTTAAGAAAGGGGGTGGATGAGAAGAAAGATTGGTAAAATAAAAGAAGAAGAGGAAGAAAAGAATTAAAAAAGAAAAGAAAAATAGGAGGGGATTTTGTGGGAGAAGTCTGGTGCGAGTGTTCTTGAGAGAGGAAGCAGCAGGGGTGTGCTTCTTGTTTTCAGTGAGAGAAAGACCTGTTAGTGACAATTGCAGGCAGGGTGACCTGCAGACCCTGGCTCTGTCTGCTTGGGTTGTTGCAGGTTGTAGAGCTTCTGGATGGCAGCCAAAGAATGAGAAGAGTCAGACAGTGAAGGGGATGTCCCTAGCTACCAGGTCAATGGAGGCAGGAAGAGGGTTCACGCCTAGTCTCCATGAACTTCTGTCTGTTAGAGCAGAGACTGAACCTCTCCAGTCACGATTCAATAGCATGGGTCTGGTGCCCTTCTGTGTGCAAGCAGCCAATTATCTTGCCCAGACTCAATCAAGTGGGAGGCCACCTTGAGTCTAGCATCTCCATTGACCACCCCATAGGCCTTCTGCCTCATCTGGGTCCTCAACCAAAACAACTAGTGTTCACTAGTGGTGAATTGTTTCATTCTGTTCCTCTGTCTCCCTCCTAGCATCACAGTCACCTGTGCCATTGAAAATCTGGCCTGTTTCTATGCAAATTCCTCTCCCAGATCTAACATGTATTTTGCTCACCTTGATTCCCTCCAGATCTGTTCTCATTGTGTCTCTGTTGCAGTGTGGATTCCACAAAGTTGATTTCTTGTCACCCATGATGATGCTTTCTGTGCCTCAAAATGGCCACGCTTTATCAGGTCTTGGTTTCTTCTCCCTCCCCAGTCACAGTCCTTGCTCCATGTCTCTTTCCAATTAGTTCTCAATCTAATTATTTATCCTCTCATTTGATGCTCAGAGTTCCAGAATCCTTATTTGTTCCTATTGTACTATGTTTTTCCAGGTCTTTGTTATTGAGGGAGGAGTGTGTTACCAGAATGCTATCTTGTCTCCTTCTTCGTGTGTATGTACTTGCATTTGCTGTTGTTTTAACTTTTATAAATCCCCAGTGTCTTTCTTTGCCTTTACCATTTTCTCATGACCTGCCTTTTCCTTCACTCAATTAGTGAGTCTAACCTCTAGTTAGTAATTTACCCTCCTTTCCCCACCTGCCCCTGCAAACCTTCAAAGAATGTTTATTTCTCTGTGTAAATATTTTTATTGACTTTTTGCTGTAGTGCTTTCATATATTTGCCCTTTTGTGATTGACTAATTTTACTCAGCATAATATCCTGTAGGTTCATCATTCATGTTCTGAGGTGTTTCACTGATTCATCATTATTCTTTACTATTGTGTAATATTCCATTGTGTGTATATTTCATAGTTTGTTTATGCTTCCATCTGTTGATGGACAATTGGGTTGTTTATATATTTTGATATTGTGAATAATGCTGCAATGAACATGAGTAGCATTATATTTATTCATGTGATGGCTCTCATTTCTCTAGGATATATCCCTAGTACTGTTAGTGTTATTGCTCAATCGTATGATATTTCTATTTCCAGTATTTTAAAGAAGCGTCATACCACTTTCCACACTGTTTGCATCATTTTACAGTCCCACTAACAGTGTTTGAGGATTCTAATCTCTCCACACCCTCACCAGTATTAGTTATTATTTATTTTCTTTTTGAAGTTAGCTATTAATGCTGGGATGAGATGTTATCTAATTATTGTTCTGATTTTCATCTCTAATGGCTAATGATTACAAGCATTTCTTCATGTGTTTGTTGACCACCTTAATGTCTTCTTTAGTGAAATGTCTGTTTCTGTTCTCTGAACATCTTTAATTGGATTATGCATCCTTTTTTTAAAAAATGAGGTGTTAAAAGTTTTCTACAAATTTTAGAGATTAGTCCCTTGTCTGATATGTTGTTGCCATTTATTCCCCCCAGATTGTAGGTTCTTTTTACTCCTTTAGTGAAGCCTTTGGAAAAATAAATGTTTTTGTAACAGATTGATATTAAGAGATTTGTTTTCAATTTTGCTAAAGCTATCTTCCATTGATTCAATTCTACTTCTTTGTCCTTACAATGCGTTACCTCTTTTTGAAATTTTAGTATTAATATTCCAGATCTATTTGCTATTTTTGAACATTTTAAAATTATTTATTAATTTTTTTCATTTTTTTTTCTGTATTATTTCTTTTCTATTCTTCTAGAGTTTTGTCTGTGTTTTTCCTTGATTTTGTGTGTAGTTGCCTTCAACTTTCTTTCAGTCTGTTGAAAGTACCTAAATATAATTCTTTTGAATTACCTATTAGGTAGTTCCAATAGCATTTCTTCCTTCAGAAGATTTTCTGTCCCTACCTTTCATTCTTTTGCTTTAGTCATCTTATCTGTTTTTCTGTGTGTGTGTTGAAGCTTTCTGTAGTATCTGAGTCATTGTGGTGCTACTGTATTCATTTTTTTCATTTCATGTTTGGTTTACTTTGATATATATATATATATATATATATATAAATAATAATTTTTTTTTTTTTTTCCTTTTAACATATCCAGGCAATGGGGAAGGCATCTTATTCTGGTTACTAGCTTGGCAGCCCTGGGGTGTTCACCTAATTATGGGTGGATTTGGTAACAGATGGGAGTGTGGACACACAAGTCTGTGATCACTGGTCATATACAGAAGCTAAGGGAAGGTTGGGTGTTTGTTGGCCATTGTCTATCACTGATCGAATGATGCTGCAGTGAGTGGTGGCACTCACCCAGTGGGTGGTGCATCAGGTGGGGTGGGTATAGCTGGGTAGAATCATTGGTTCTGAGTGTTGGAGAAAAAAGAAGAAGAATGAAAAAAGTGGGAGGAGGGGAAGAAGAAAAAATATTAAAGAAGGAAAAAAAGATGGATATACCTAGGAAGAAAGATTAAAAAAATTAGAAAAAAAGAACACTATTTGCCAAACACAGCTGTGTTGTGAATATGGCACTCCCTTTATAGGAGCTCACTCCACCATGTAGAGTGGTAGAGGCAGACACTGAATGCAGAAGTGGTGAGTGGTGGGGCATCCACTCCACATGATAAAAAAGAAAAAAGTGTGGAGAGGAGGAGGCAAAAAAACAAAAGAAAGAAAGAAAAGAAATTAGGAGTAAGCAAGAGGCTAAGGGAGAAGCAATAAGAAGAAAGGACAAATGAATAAGAAAAAAGAGAGAGTTGTGCAGGGACATCATATATGAAGAAAGCTAAATGTCATTAAAAAGACTTTTAGGGAAGAGAAAATCAAAATGGATGTCAGAAGAGACTCTGAAACTTGCTCTTGAAGAGAGAGTAGTTAAAGCAAATAGTAGAAGTGATGACGTAAAAGAGCTCAACAGAAGATTTCAAAAGGCAGATCAAGAGAACAAAGTGAAGTACAATGAACTGTGCAAAGATTTGGAATTGGAAAATCAAAGGAGAAGAACATGCTCAGCATTTCTCAAGTTGAAAGAAATGAAAAAATTCAAGTCTGAGTTGCAATATTGAAGGATTCTATGAGTAACATATTGAAGGATGCAGGAATCATCAAAAGAAGATGTGTAAGGAGTACATAGGTTCACTGTACCAAAACTAACTGGTATATGTTCAAGCATTTCAGGAGGTAGAGGAAGTAGCATATGGTCAAGAACTAATCATGTCGAAGCAAGAAGTCCCAGCTGCACTGAAGCATAAAACAAGGCTCCAGGAATTGACAGACCACCCACTGAGATGATTCAGTTAACAGGTACAATGCTGGAGGTGCTCACTCATTTATGCTAAGAAATATGGAGACAGCTACCTGGCTAACTCACTGGAAAAGATCTATATTTATGCTCATTCCAAAGAAAGGTGATCCAATAGAATGGAAATTATTGAACAATATAATTAATATAACATGCAAGTAAAACTTTGCTGAAAATAATTAGAAAACAGTTGCAGCAGTACATCTACAGGGAACTGCCAGAAATTCAAGCCAGACTTGGAAGAGGACATGGAACAAGGGATGTCACTGCTGATGGCAGATGGATCTTGGCTGAGAGCAAAGAATGCTAGCAAGTTGTTTACTTGTGTTTTATTGACTATACAAAGGCATTTGGCTATGTGGCTGATAACAAATTATGGATAACATTGTGAAGAATGGGAATTACAAAACAATGAATTGTACTCATATGGAACTTGTACATAGACCAAGAGGCAGTTATTCCAACAGAACAAGAGGATACTGCATAGATTAAAATCAGGTATCCTTGCACCATATTTATTCAGTCTGTATGCTGAGAGAATTATCTGAGAAGCTAGTCTATATGAAGGAAAATGCAGCATCAGGTTTGAAGGAAGATTCATTAAGGACCTGTGATATGCAGATGATACAACATTGCTTGCTGAGCGTGAAGGAGACTTGAAGCACTTATTGTTGAAGACCAAAGAGCACAGCCTTCTATATGGATTGCACCTCCACATGAAACAAAAATCTTCACAACTAGACCAACAAGCAACATTATGATAAATGGAGAAAAGATTGAAGTTGTCAAGGATTTCCTTTTACTTAGATCACAATCAACACATATAGACACAACAATCTAGAAACGAAACATGTATTATTGGGCAAATATGCTTCAAAAGACTTTAAAATGTTTAAGAGCAAAGATGTCACTTTGAATACTAAGGTGTACCTGACCCAAGCCATTGTATTTTCAGTGGCCTCATATGCATGTGAGAGCTGGACAATGAATAAGGAAGACCACAGAAAATTTGATGCATTTGAAATGGGGTGTTGGTGAAGAATATTGAATTACTGTGGATTTTAAGAAAAACAAACAAATCTGTCTTGGAGGATGTCCAACTGGAATGCTTCTTAGAAGCAAGAATGGCCAGCCTGCATCTCTTGTACTTTGGTCATGTTGCCAGAAGAGACCAATCCCTGATAAAGGATATCATGCTGGGTAGAGAGTTGGTGAAAAAGAGAAGACTGTCAATGAGTTGGATTGATACAGTGGCTGCAATGATGGGCTCAAGGACGATAATGAATAGGAGTATGGTGCAGGACTGGGCAGTTGTTTGTTCTGTTGTATATAGGGTTGCTATGAGTCAAAACTGGGGGCAGTTGTTTCAATTTATCCTACATGAAGTTTGTTAAGCTTCTTAGCAGTGCAGATTATGTTTCTCATCAAATTTGAGAAGTTTTCACCCAGTATTTCTTCTAATATTCTTCCCTCTCTCCTCTCCTTTTGGGAGCTCTGGTGGTGTAATGCCTAAGGCATTTGACTGCTAACCAGAAGGCTGGAGGTTCAAACCCACCAAACACTCCTTGGAAGGAGAATTGGGCAACAGAGATCCTGCCTGGGAAACCCAAGGAGGGGTCGCTATGAATTGGAACTGACTCGGCGGCAGTGAGGATTTTTTTTTTTTTTTTTGTAATTATATGTATGTTTGCATGCTTGGTGGTATCTCTGAGGCTCTGTTAATTTTGTTCAGTATAATTATCTTTCTGTTTCTCCGACTGGATAATTTTAATGGAACTATCCTAATTTTTGCAGATTCTTTTTTTGCAACCTCAAATATTCTGTTGAGCCAATTGGTGTATTTTTCATTCTGGTTATTGTATTTTCCAGCTCAATATTTTCTATTTGATTTTCTGATGTGATTTCCATCTCTTTATTGATATTATTTATTTG